GTTGATATTGACTCCCCTTTTCTAACTGTGAATCAGTTTATGTTGGCTTATTTCCTTCTTCTTAGAAAAGAGAAAAAGATCAAGGTTGTTGATATATGTTATGTTTTCTTAGTGATCACCAGACTAAAACTATGCACGAAGTGTTGTTCTGTGCTAAAATATCTCTTGTATGTTGGTGTTGTGAGAGTATATGTCTTAAGTTGTGTATATTATTTCTTTCCTTGGGTGTATTGCCTAAAAAGGAAATTTCTAAGGATCTGAGGGATTTGCGGAAAGAGTTTTTTTTCAGAATTTTACATTTATCTTTATATATAAATACTTTAAATTAAATTTTAGAAATAATATTATACTTTTCTAATAGATTGATTATCACCTTTATTTATCAGGATTATTGTCAATAATTTGGTACTATTGAACTTAAAACAAAATAGTTAACAATTTATTTTTATTTTATTATTTATTAAAAAGATTTTTTTTTAAATTATACTGTATAATCAAAATAATTAATTTTTTTTAATCTATAATTATATTACAATAGTTTGTATTTATTAAGAAATTAATCAGAATCTAAAATAAATTACAGACTTTTATAAAATAATTAACTTGTTTTTATACAAAAATACTTTAAGTCAGATTTTGAAAATAATATTATATTCTCCTGATACAATTGGATTAATCACTATTTACTTAGATTATTGTTAACAATTTATTACTATTGAATAATTCAAAAATCAATAAATTGTTAAGTTAAAAATAAAGAAAGAGAATTTATAATTAGAAAAAGAAACAATTCAAGGTTTTATCAAAACAAAGTTATTTATCTCTCAAAAAAGTTTTTTAATTGAAATATTCTTTTTATTTTACTTAAAACTTAAAAGAAATTTTTTTTGTCATTATCTATAATATCAAATGAATTAATTTAACTAGTCTTTATTTAAGTAAGTACTGAATTATAATATCTTAAAAAAAGTATTAAGACCTTGGTTTTTGTTTATTATAGTTTTGTTATTTTCTGAAAAATTTGAGAAAGAGATAGAAATTTGTAATTTATATTATTTATTTCTTAATCTTTTGATATTATGGATATATCTTTCTTTGGGAACTTGAGCTTTTAAAAGTAAACATTTCTGAAACATTCTTTTTAATTACCAATGACATTATTGAAATATATAAGTATAATTAATAGAAGCCTATTTATATTTCAAAAACTAATATGTTTATATTAATCAATTATTTTTGATGAGAATTTGTATTATTCAAAATTTAGGATCAAACCAAGATAAATAAAATTTTTCAAAAAATTGTGAAAGTTTTAAGAGGATTAAAACAGTTAAAAAAGGAGAAAATAAGTTTTTTTATTATATAAAACCTTTATGAATCTTTTATTTCAAAGATTAGAAAGATCTTTAGATATTTCACAATTGATTTTTCTTTTTTGAAATTTTCTTGTTATTGGTATAAAAAGTATTACTTGATTTTTCTTGATTATTGGAAGTCAAATTTTTGAGTAAAGAGATTTGTAAACAATAGAAAAAGAGTATAAATGACTTTTGAAATCAAATTTCAAGTTTTTTTAAAAAAAGTATTAAGACTTTATTGGCAAAAAAGCAAAAAAACTTCTTGCAAACTTCTTTTTTATATGTAATTAAAAAATCAATGAAAAGAATTTTAGTATTTGAAATAATTAAATAAAACTTATATAAGAAAAAACTATTTGGAACCATTTTTTTTGCTCTTTGACACATGTCATTGTAACTTCATTGTCTATCATTATTTTTACAATTAAACTTGAAAATTTTGACTTAATATGAGTTGTTGATTGATCCTATGTACATATAATACTTGAATATATATTTGTATTAAATCGTCTATTGATATAATAAATAAATATTATCAACCTGACTTAATGAATTATTCTAAAAAAAAAAATTGTTAATATACTATAAGCATAATAAAATAATTGTATATCCATTTCAAATTTAATTGAATACTTTTGAAATATTAATAAATTGATTTATTGCAATTTAATAAATAGTATGCCCGTGAATAGAGTTTTAGAAGATTTAGTGGCATAAACAATCATGTAATTGATACTGCACAAAATATTAAGCACATAGCCAACTAGTTTACACCTTTAGAAGTTATAATAATTGGCCGCAAAATAATTGCTTTCGTTTGCAAATCCCTTTAAATACAGTAACTTCTTAAATACTTATAATGGGATTGTTGATGCACTCGGGTAGATTTTTAGCTAGAATAAACCTAAACTCGCTATTAGAACTCTGATCGTGGCGAAAATGCAAAACTGATTAGGCGGCGAAAATATCAACCGTTTAGGTACCATATATACCCGACTGGTTACTTTATCTATAAATATGTGACTAAGTTTATCACTTGCAATCTCAATTCTCTGGTTAATAATTTCTGAAAATATGGGGCTAAACGACTACTTATATGAATTACCATCAATTATGATGATGGGACTAATATCGTACACCACCTATTTCTACTACAAATATCTTACCCGTGTGAATCCTCTACCCGGCCCTCTACCACTACCATTATTTGGGAATCTCATCTTTTATTCCAATGATCTTGTCGTCGCGCTCAGTAAGCTACAAGTAAAATATGGTGATTTCTTCGAATTTTACAGGGGAAATCAACGCTATATCTGTTTACTTAATGAGGACCTGGTAAAAGTAATAGTGAAACCGGTAATCAACAGTAATTTCCATTTTCGTGTGGACGAAAACAATGGAATAAAAGAATTAGGACGCCATAAATACGGACTTACTTTTAATGCCGATTATAATGAATGGCGATATTATCGAAAATTCTTCTCGCAAACTTTGTTGACGCCATCATTCTCTAGGCAAGCGTTGATCTGCGTACAAGCCGGATTTGAGGAAATGAGCAGATATTGGGAACAATTGGGAGAAGAAACTGTTGTAGATTTTCCAGAATGGATGAAAAGATATTTTATGGAAACAATCGTGACCACTACCAGTAGTAAACCAGCTCACGCTTTATCCAATTTTTATAAAAGGTTGTCTAATAAGAAAATTGATGGAGGGGTTAGCGAAAGTGAAGAGTACATAGAAGTCGCTCAACATTTAAATGAAATAGTACATTGGTTTTCAATTGTTCCCGAATATTTGCGTAACTTTCCTGGAATTAATTTACGCACCAAGAAGTATAAGGAAAAATATTTTTTGTTAAATAATATGATCCTTAAAATGGTTAAAGATAGACGAGCGGAGATCGAAGCAACACCTGAAGATCAACCACTTGTTCCAGATATGTTAACCATGTTCTTGACGGTTAACACTCCACGTGACGTCACTGAAAGAATTGCTGATGATCAGAATAATAAACCGATGACCGATGAAGAAGTTGTCGGGAATTACTTTGAAGTTTTGGGAGCGGGGATTAGTACGGGATCAAACGCCATCTGTTTTTTAGTTTATTACCTATCCCATCATCCCGATGTTAAACGAAAGCTGTTGAAAGAATTTGAAGTGGTCGTCGGAAGAAATCCTAACACTAAGAAAATTACTATCGACGTTATTAACAAACTTGAGTACACCGAAGCTTTTATTAAAGAAGGTACCTTTTTTTTTTCCTCTCACAATAATTAACATTATTTTCAAATTGCTCATTAAACTATTATCATTTATTACAGTTAATAGATTTACCCCTATTGTCCCCCTTATTAAAAAACAAAATAGAGAACCTGTTGAAATTGGTGGTATTAAGTTCCCGGCTAATACAATATTTTTCTCAAGTAGCTTGCTTCTTCACAGGCATAAATCCCAGTGGTCTAATCCCGAAGAATTTAATCCGGATCGATTTTTAAAGTCAAGTCCAGAGAGTAAAAATCCTTTTTACATGTTTGGTTCGGGTGAAAGAAAGTGTATGTATATTATTACCTTGATGCCTTTTCAAGTTTTTCTTCTCTTCTAATCTCATCATAACTTATCCTAGGTCCCGGAAGAAATCTAGCATTGTTAGAACTCAAGGCTACATTACTTTTGCTGTATTCAAAATATGATGTAGAGCTTGTGGACATGAATGCGCCCATAAAGTATCGCGAAACAATCCTGAGGAAGTGTACCAAATTAAAAGTAAGAATTAAAAAACGACGAGATTTGAATTAAGTCGAGAGTTCGGAGCTTTCGTAACAAGTACTCTTATTATATTGACAACCTTTCGGACCTTTGATCAGTTTAACTCGAGAACATGTATACCTTAGCAATATACAGTAACATATTTTTATATCGATTACAAAAATTCTTTTATCGCATTAAAATGTCTTAACACGTGCTTACTTGAAGTACAATAAATTACCGTTTCAAATTGAACGTTTTATTATTGACAAATGTTACTTATTGACGCATATGTTTCTTGACAAATGATTTATACGGCATATAGTCCCCTTTAAAAGTTGTTGGACTTTTTTCTATTTTATTGTATACTGCATTTCAAATTTAATTATTTATTATTATCCTAATAAAAAAAAAAATCTTTTATAATATCAACAGGTTTTAATTTTACTGAAATTAAATAATAGATCCCAATAATAATAATAATAATAATAAATAATAATAATAATAATAATAATAATAATAATAATAATAATAATAATAATAACTGTTATTTTATTGCTCACTAAAGTTTTATTAATCGATAAAAAGATATTTCTAATACCTGGAATTGCAAATACTATATTTATAAAATACAGTATTAATAGAATCCCATTATTATTTCGCGTAACTATAATTACTTGAGCATTCCAAGTGGCGTATGCACCACATCAATTAATACAATAATTTTTCTTCTATAAAAGTACAATAAATAATTTTTTCTTAAAAAAGATTACATTAATAAGTATGAATTACCAGCACTCGTATTCTTAAGTATTATCTTTTGAAGTAGACTTCACATTTCTACATCAAAAATTGTAGTATCCACAAAACATTCAACGTCAACAAAACACTTAATCCTTGTCCCCACATTTTTTTAGAACCCGAACTTGCCGAACTTCCTGTCGCACCAGTTGTACTACCAGTACCGGAGGTCGAGGTTGCATTTCCGGTGCTAGTCGACGGAATCTTGCTTAAATCTGTATAGGAACATGTCGTGCTATTACACAAACATTCACCTTTTATTGGATCCCACCAAGCGGTGTCACATGTGGTAGGAACACGAAATCGGTCCCCACCAGAAGGTACAGGATTTTGTGGAGTGGGGTTGGCACTGGGACATCCGTAGCATGTGTTCCATACCTCAGTATTGAAGTTGCAATACTCGGTTAGACCAGCATCAATTTGTCCATTACCAGTGTCATCAAGGCCATTGCAAATCTCGTGACCAATCTTTGGAATTTTACATTGAAAAGGCTCGTACGTGTTCAATTGGCTGACAGGAACGGGGTTTTTCATCCAATCGATGAGTTGTTGTGAAGTGACGAACCACACGTTGGGTTGAGAAAGTGCCCAATCCATAAAATCCTGAAGCATTTTAATTCTCGGAGCGGGATCAGGGCGTCCGGCGATAGCGGTAAGTTGGACCGGATGGATGTAGAGACCTTGATTGTAAAAAAGTGGGTAGAAATGAATATGATGATAATATGATCGAGGAAATTAATGGTGGAACAAACGTACCGAAAGGAACTTTTCCTTCGGTAACATGACGATTAAAATTATCTTTTAGCCACTTTTCAACCACTTCTGGTGTGTCATCGAGATATGGATCCATTAAATGGGGTAAACCGTTCGGGTCTAAATTTTTTAATTCGTACGTTGGTGAGCGCTGTAAAGGACATTTCTCAAACGAAAATATATAACGTTAATGCATTAGTAGATACCCATGATAGCCGACATGGGAAGTTCGAAAAATCCGGGATGTATCGTTGTGTTACAGAATCCTTTATCACAATCATGAAACAGTCCGTTATCCAGGGTATAAGGCCAGGAGTCATCAGTACCCACCGCGGTAACTGACGAATCATACAAGAAGCCTTGCTGGACGAGGTAGTTGAACGTATCAGGAGTATAGTTGAGGAATGGTGTACGGAAACCTACCATTTTTCCGAATGGAATGCCGGCATAGGCGTTGAGGGCCAACTTGTTGCCTACGATTTCATCTATATATTATAGTAAGGAATTAAGTACCATAGAAAATAATCGACCTAATTAAACAATAAGATGTAATTATATATACTCTCTGGTGGTTCCGGAACATGGGTCATCGTGTGATCGGCCACTTCATGCCCGGAAGAATACCATCGCGTGACCAACTCGTAATCGGTGTATTGTGTACTGACGTAGTATGTTCCTGTTATTGGGCAACTAAAAATTTATTCGGTCAGTAATGGGATCGGTTGATTACACGGTGAATAATATTTACCCGTTAGGATTTTTTCGATTTCCGAGTAAAGTTTCCACGACTATGCGAAGTAAAGAAATATTTACATGTGTATGGAATGAAACAAGACCAAATGAAATAAATATGATTGCGCTTACTCGTGAGAGTGGAATTCTGAATTGAGTCATCTGTTGAAATTGAATGAGGTCGTTAGAATATGGCACACGAGAATAGCTATTTTTGAAATTTAGGCATACCAAAGGTAAAGGTAAAGAACATTGGTGTCTGATCCAAAGTCAATCCGCCAGGTGGGTTTGTGGAGGGACAGAAACATTTAGGTGCAAGGCATTTTGTTGAATCGCAATTGAAGGCCGCTTCCGCACCGTAAAGTCCATTGAATGTGTTTAAGTAGGCGAAAAGGAATAGAGTTCCGAGTAGCGGTTTCCTTAGCATCGTCAAAGTATATGAAACCATCTTCGACTTGAAAGGTGGAAGAAAGGTTAAAAAAAAAAATGAAAAAAAAAACCAGGGAAAAAAAAAAACAACTTTTAAAAGAAATCGGCCTGACTGAGAAACTGCCGATAACTTATTAAATTAATCAAAGACAAAAAGTTAACTAAAGTGATTTTTCTCGCTTCGATGAACTTGTTATGTGATTTAATTATCTTAAATTTATAATCTTATGAATTTGGTGATAGAACGCTTCCCCCCCATTGGCAAATGCTAATTAAATCACTTTTTTTAAATATGATCAAGTCCTCGTTCGCACGTCTTGCGTATTCTTCGCTTAATATGATTTTTAAACCATGCATAAGAAAATTTTAATTACCAATTATCGACGAGGTATGTTGATTAAAAATGGATCCCAGAAATCAAAGACGAGGGTAATTATTTTAGAGTACCAACAACCCATTTAAATAACAATTACAACAATGAATGATGATAAGGCAAAAAGTCCCTTCAGGAAAAAATAATCAATGCACCATTATTCAATATCTTGGAAATTATTCGCCAATTTATCTTCACCGTTTTCTTTTTATTTTATACTGTATATCAAAGAAGTTAGAACGTCATATATAAATAAAAAATGTTACTATAATAAGGACAAATTTTTCTTGTCAGACGGCGTTTAATGAATCTCTCTGCCAAATTTATGTGTTGCTAAATTAAAAATATTTGTAAAATGTTTCTTTTGATTATTTTTGCGACACTAGCGCTAATTGATGTTCATTCTCACATATTGATGCTATATGCCACCTTTTTCGGTGCATCCCCATCCCTTCCTCCTTAAAACTAGTCAACCGTCCTTTCCTTCTTTCCTTCTTTCCTTCTTTCTTAACTGTGATTAACATGATTTTATTATGGTTGCACTCCTCTCACACTATACTTTCATACCATAGGTTCTGACACAAATTTTTGATGGACCAACAGAATTAAAATTAGATTCGGAATCATCTTTTGTTAGAGCTTTGAAGATCTTCCGACTCCGAATTGCGTATACCTGTCGTCATGGTCATGATTAGCAACTTACTCTAAAAAGCCTAAATTACAGTAAATAAAATACTTCATTACATAAACAATGATTTTTTTTTTTGATTTATCAATCCGCTTTAAAATTAGAATCTCATTAAAAGACGTCGGGAAAAAGTTACCTTGCGAAGATCACACAAATCTTGCCTCGAATTAAGCTCCGATAATTCGACAGCTTCATTCACTTAATACTTTTGAAACCGATAAACTTTTCTTTAAAGTTCAATTTCAAAATAAATTATATGATTAGAACTTGATATACTATTTCATGCAAAATATGTTTTTATTTGCAATAATTAATGGGTATGTGAGTAAGCCCGACAAAATAAACTGAATATATCAAAAATCAAAAGGTTATATTGATATTGATTGCTTAATTGATTTTTAAAATTACCAACAAAAGGTCTTTATCAAAAAAACAAAGAATTATTATATGCAAAAATTTTTTGAAATTTTTTTTTTCTTTTTATAAATATAATTAAAAGATATTGATATTACCAAGTTGTCAACTTTGAATTTAATTTAATAATTAGATTATGATAAAATTATCAAACATACTGTAGTTATGAACTAAATTAATGAAAATTCTATATAAAGTTTCTTTAATATATACTGTATATATGTATATATATATATATTTATTTATTTCATAATTATTATTATTTTTTTTTAACCCACAGTCAGGTCAGTATGATATGTCTTTATTGTATATATGTTAGGTATTTACAAATTATTGCGACTTTCACATACTGACTCACTCATCATTGAAAAAACCATTTCTCTAAATGCAACCTAGGGAATGATATTTCACTCCTTTACTAATTTGAATAATTCCTCTAATTAATAAAATTATTGCCTATAGGTCATTACTGTAGCTTGATTTTATAATTATGCTATTATGATGTATCTTTATTGAAACATTAAATAATAATTCACAATATTATATAGACTATTTATATAAAAATAAACTTATTATTGTATATTATTAGCTGAAAGATTATATTACTTTAAATATAAAAAGCTTATTAAGTTAACTTAGATTAAACAAAACAAAATCTAAATTAAGTATTTTAAATTAAATTTAAAAAATAATTTTTTATTTTTTGAATAAATTAAAATTTCTATTTATTATAATTATTATTAAAGTTTATTATTATATATTATTTCAAAAAATAATAAATTATTAAATTAATTTTCTTAATAAAAAATAATTCAAAAAAATTTTAATAAATATTTGTTTAAGTCAATAACTTTTTTTTTCAAAAGAAACTGTTTAATTAAAAAATTATCTAATTTCAAACTAATTAAGAAATTTAACTTTAAAATCTTGATTTTTTTTTTAAAAAAAAAGTTTTTTTTACTTAAAATACTTAATAAAATATAAAAATTGATATTATTATGATTTTTTATTTGCGTTTTGATATTATAATTAATTATTTTAAAAAACTTACTTGATTAAAGAAGTTCTTTTTTATAAAAATTTTTTTATTATTAGTAATACATAATTGTAATTATTAAAAACTTATTTATATTCTAGAAATCAATATGTTTCATATTAATCAATCATTTTTAATAAAAATTATAATATTCAAAAATTTAAAATTAAATAAATAAATTTCTCTAAAAAATTAGAAATACAAAATCTTATAATAATAAATAAAAAAAAAAAGATAAATTTTTTATTATAAAAAATTTTCATAAATGTTTATTTCAAAAGTAAAAAAATCCTTAAATATTTATAATTAGTTTTTTTTTCTTTAAAAAGGTTCTTATTATAAATATTAAAGATATTATTTAATCTTTTTTAATTAGTAAAAGTCAAATTTTAATTGAAAAAATTTATATATAAAAAAAAAATATGGTAAAAATACTTTTTAAGCTATTTTAAAGATAGTATAAAAACTTTGTTAATTAACTAATTTAAAAGGTTTTGATAATTCTTTTTTTATACATAATTATAGATTTTTTAAAAAAATAATATTTTTTTTTTTGTAATTGTGACTAATATTAGGCATATATACTTTTTATTTATTAAATCAAGACTTTACAAATTTTGTAAAAACAAAAAAAATAATATTTTATATTTTAAATAATTAAATTAAATATTTAATGATTATAAAAAAATCCAATTTTTTAATAGTTTAAGGATATATAAAATAAATAATAATTTTTCAAATAAATAAAATTTAATTAATAATTAAGTTTTAAAACCAAAATATTTAATTATTATTATATTTATTTTAATTATTTATTATTAAAATAAATTATTTATTTAAAAAATTTTTTTATCTTTAATTATTAAATTTCAATTGTAAAATAGATTTATAATTATAAAAAATTGATTTTTAGTTATAAAAAATCAATATTTAATAAATTTATAATATAAAAATAATATTTACAGATTCTAATTATAAAGTCTAGATTTAATAATATATAAAAATCCTATGAAAAAATAATTAGATTTCATAAGAATAAAAACTTTTAATTTTTAGTTGATTATTAATACTAATCAAAATTATATAATCAGCTATTGAATTCTTGTTGAATTTGGAAAAATTTAATAATAAAAATATTGATAAATCTTTTGTAATTACTACCACTTAGCATTAAAAATATTAGCATATTGCAATAAAAAAATACAATACAAAATTTGACAATATTGTAGCAAAAAAATTTTTTTATATACTGTAGCAAAAAATTTTTTGCATACTATAATAAAAAATATTTGACAAAAAATTGATACTGTGGCAAAAATTCAATAAAAATTTAATACTGTGACAAAAAATTCAGCAAAAAATTGATATTGCAATAAAAAATTTGACAAAAAAATTACTGTAACAAAAAATTCAAATTTCATGAAATTTATTAAAAAATTAAAAATCAATTGACTAAATTATTTGATATTTTTCTTTTTCTCCTCTTCCACTTGCTTTTATTTTCCCTTTAAAGATTTTAGCTTGATTCTTTTAAGACTAATTCAATTAATTTTACCTTGCTAAATGTTTTTTGTGATTTTTCACTTTTTTCTTTTAACTTAACCACCCTTAAATTTTACCTATTCATATATTTTTTTCAGTTTGTTGAATATATTAATAATTCTTTATATTTAATTATTTTTTATCTTTTGAATTTAATTGTCAATTTTTTACCTTTTTTTGTCTCTTTTTCTTGTTTACATTCCAAAATCTCTTTCAAACTGTATATCCAATTCAGTAAGCCTTTTAGTGATATTATATTATAGAAATATAAATCATTATAATATTATTTACAAGTCAGCTGGAACATATAAATTGATTTCAAATATTCATTTAAATATTTCAACAAATCCTTTAACTATAATAATTATAATTAATATTGTAATTATTCAGCATAAAATATTTTACTAAAAAATATCTCTTCAAAATGCCAACCATAATTATATACATTTATTTTTCTTTTGATAGGGTTTTCTGAATCAATTTCACTTTTTTTAAATGAATATACCTTTGTTTTTTTTAATTACATCAGTTAGTTTATTCTGATATTTAATAATTTTCTTTGATATTCATTTAATAAGTGATTGTATACTTTTAATTCTTCATATTCTTTTTTTAATTATTTGTTAAAAATTAATAATTTAAGATAGTATAAATATAGAATATTATTAATCTTACTTCAT